CGGGGAAGGCAAGAAAAGCCTACCCGGCAACGGACAGGCAAGGGGCGAGTCCTGCAGTAAGGTAGGCAACCGTTAGAGAGGACCGGAGAGACGGATGCGCGGAGAGAGGGGCGCGCACCGGGTAGGCAGAAGACCCAGTCGGATGAGGAGGATTCGCATAGACGAGGCGTAACAACGGCGAAGGAGGTCGCCGCTTCTGTGGAGAAGCAGAGGCTGGGTGGAGGCGAAGGTGAATGGCAAAGTAGCGACGAGCGAAGTTACCTGTGGCACGAGTCGAACTAGAGGCAACGCGGCGGAGTCTTGGGAACGAGGTAGAAAATATGAATGGTAGGTAAGAGAGTCGGCCTGAGGCTGGAGGCTTACGTTTTCTGCTGTCGATGACTGCATTAGGTTATTTTCGTACTCTCTACTCGATTGCCGTGCGAGCGGCCCACCCGCCCTCCCACTAACAGCCAAATGGCTGATCGGAGTTGTCTTTGAAGGGTTTGGGTACCGCGGGAGTGTGGTCGCAGACGCAATGGCCTTCCCCACAATAAGTTAGTAGTGAGTACGGATCACGCGATGACGTTTAAGCAATCGCCTTTACCTTGACAACCTCTGCACGGTGCGTCACCTTTACTCGTGCCGCGTCAACCCTTGCCTCCCAAGCATGTATGTTTGTCTTGTAAGTCGTTTTTCATCTTTAGGATAAAACCCGTGTCATTTACGATTTCATCTACTCGTTCTGCCTTTGTTTTTGCTCGGCCTGTCGTATCAATTTCGCAGACGGTACGCAGCGTACCGTACGCTTGGCAGGCTCTGCTTAGCAGACAGGCAAACCCTTTTTGACCACACGTCGGGGAAAAGTATCTAATCAACGTGGTCATTGCGCCTGTCCTCAAAGTTGCCCTCGGCCTATTTAAGCGTTATTTGTAGCACAGCCGGGCATCAAAGTCACAAGAGGCGTTTACCCACAATTTACCATAACCTCAGTTAAACTTATGTTGCGCTTATTTCACGCGCTGGGGACAAATCCTTAGCATTGCCTTCGCTGTTAAAGTCTACTCAAGAGCCCTAGCGGGAACCAGCTCCTACGGCAATCTCCAGCCCAAGCATATGCAACCACAGCGCCTGCTTCCTCCCACCTTACATCGAGCAGTGAAAAACTGGCTAGCGTCGTGCTGTGCAGCGAGTAGTTATAACGCACAAGCAGCGACAGCGAGTCGGCTGCTTCCACAGGAGCATGCCAACGACCGGCCACCCAAGCCTGGAACCCCCGCCGTTGCACTTCGCTACGGGGCCCCCGCTACCGCCATCGCGACCGACAGCACCAACGGACGCTTCCACCACAACCATCAACAACCTCCCCAGCGGCGTTCTGGCTCCCCCCTAATCCGGCGCTCCTCTTTCCTTCGCCAGCTACCCACCGCAATACCCCCACCGCCGGTCCGCCCCAGCCGGTCCCCCCTCCTGCACTCTGTAACACCTGTTATACCTCTACCTGACCAACGTGTGGTTGGGAGTGATGGTTCTTCTTGTACGGCGCAGCCACGGCGGCGGTACGGCACCCCGTCGGCGCAGTCTGAGCCACAGGCCGGCGGAGGCACCTCGCCGCTACCGACGCGTCAGCAGCAGCAGCGGCGGTCGGCCCCCAGTGCCCAGCTGCGGGACCGTATAGAGGAGCTACTGCCGGGCCGTGTCTCTGCGGCTCGTGACATACTCAGACAGCATGGTACGGACGAGTCGTACCACGAGCCGCTCCCGCCGGACCTGGTCGTGTTTCCCGAGGTACGCCCCTCCTCGACCTCGTCGCCCTCCGACCCATGGGTCACACCAGGTCATCTGATGTGTTGAGTATCATGTCCTGAGGGCACACACTCCACGGACTCGCGCAGTTCATTTGACGACCACAGTGGCGGATTCGTTCCCACTGGCCACTTAGGTCAGCCTTCCTCTTTTTGCTACTGCTACTGCTACCGCTACCGCTGTTACTGCTACTGCCGTAGAGCCATTGGTGCTGCACCCTAGGTAATCTTGAACACAACACCAGCACAACAACAGTACGACAGTACGAGATACAACGAGACAGCAAAGCGCCCAGGACAGTCCTTGCGTGACAATACTGTATTTCTCATCCCGGTCCTTACTCCGCGGTTGTGGGACTTCACCAGGAAGAAGGGTTGGCTTTTGGCCACCCCATTACGGCAACCCTGGAGTAGGAGTTCTAACCAACCCAACGAACCCCCCTCCCTTTCACTCCTCCCTATCGTCTGGTCATTTCCCCCCGCCCACGTCGCCGCCCTTCCACCCCTACTGCCCATACACTCGCACACACACTCGCACGCATCTCGGCCACCTTTCCGTTAAGAATACGGAAGAAGTGGCCGCGGTGGTGGCGGCTTGCGCAGCGGAGCGCACCCCTGTCATACCGTACGGCGCGGGGACCTCAATTGAGGGCCATGTGGGTGCTTTGTACGGCGGCGTGTGTTTGGATGTACGGCGGATGAACCGGATTTTGAGTGTATCCCCCGAGGATATGGACTGCCGGGTGCAGGTGTGTGTGTGAGTGTGTGTGTGGGGGGGAGTGTGTGTGTACATATCGTTATTACATATCGATCCAGGCCTGACACTGGCCGGGGGGCACCTAACCGTACCCCAACGGTAATCGACCGCCGAAGCACTCCGCCATTGGAGGGGCGTTATATCGGTCAAGAGTCCTAACCGCATGTGGGCGTGCGGGTTGTTGGGGTAAACTGGAACTGAGTCCTCGAGGGCGCTGAGAACCCCCTTCCCCCCCGCCCCCCGCCCGGGCCCTGATGGAGAAGGCCGGTGTCACGCGCCAGCAGCTGAACGCGGCGCTGCGGGACAGCGGTGTGTTTTTCCCCGTGGACCCCGGGGCGGATGCCACCCTGGGGGGTATGGCGGCGACACGCGCCAGCGGCACCAACGCAGTGAGTGATGAGTGATGGGCGAGTGGGAGGAGGGGTTGAGCTGGGGGGGGCCTTTGCGTACCAGGGGCTGAGTGGGCTGATGTGGGCATCCCCGTTCTCCCACAACAACAACAATAACCACCTGCCCCACCCTCCCTTGACTTGCCGTGCAAGTGCTGGTTTGCGGGGCTCAATCTCGTTGCGGCGTGCAGTGTGATGGGTTTTACGCGTAAATTGTGTCGTACCGCGCCTCCTTGCTCCCGGCCGTATAACATATTTCACGCGGATGCAGGTCCGGTACGGCACCATGCGCGATGCGGTGATTGGCCTGACGGCGGTTCTGCCTGACGGGTGAGTGGGTGAGTGCCGCCTCCCCCGGGCCCCGAATAACCCCGCAGTCACTCACCCCCCGGCCCCTACCCTACCTACCCTACTCTACCCTATCTGTTTCTCTCCTTGGCTCTAATATTCACTACCTACACCACCATCACCAG